CTTTTTCAACCAATCAAGTAAGATTTTACAGAGTATACAAGCGTCGGCACACCCACATATGTATCTATCTAAACAAATTTCACCTTGATTTTCCGCTAGTTCTTTAGTGTCTTTATCATGAACAACATGGATCCTAACGCGTGTAAAAGATTATTGAGGTCATTGGAGGATGCGTATGAAATAGTGAAAACGAATAGGAGACCCAGGGAAATTCAACAATGGCTTAATCACATCAGAGGACATTCGAAAGAAATTAATGCATTATTGAAGAGGAGTGCGAGTCATAGTGAGAAAAGACGTTTAACTCACATGTTAGGACGACTGAAAGCGTTCTACGCAAGATTCAGAAACTTGGAAGTGCTAGGAGGAGACTTAAGGGGTAATGTAACTGATAGAGTCCGATGGGAGGACTTACAAAGTGTTTTTGAGGGTCGTATGAGAACAAGAGTGATTATTAACGTGAAAAATCCAGACATACCCAAATTTTTAGATGATGCTAGACGAATGCTCTGTGTACGTTTGAAAAATGCATTGAAACAAGAAGGAAGTTTGAAAGTGAATGTAGTGTTAACGTGTAAATATGAAATTAATAGAGATGAACATCTCATTGAAGAAGAAAAATATTTCAGTACCAAGAATGAAATAATTCTTGATTCAACTGATATTAGGCAGTGGTTTGATGAACACATAAGAGAAAAACTTCTTGTGAAAGCGGATGAGTTCCAGGAAAGAGACTCAGGCTGGAGATTAGTTGACGTCATTAATTTAGAAGTGAACATAAATAAATATAATCCAATGCGCGGAGGATCTAGCTTCGTTGAACTACCTGAATGGATTAAAAAGAAACATGCTGTCGTGAACGTTCAAAATAAAGACGATGCCTACTGCTTCTTATGGTCCATTATGGCCGCTCGCTGTAACGTTCAAGACAAGAAACGACCTAACTGATACCCAGCTTTCAGCACTGTCATGAAAAGCTTCGGTAACTTCAATTACCCCATGGCATTAAAAGATATTCCCAAGTTCGAGAAAATGAATGAATTGTCCATTAATGTATATGGAATCGACAGTAACGAAGAATCAGAGAAAAAATGGATTGTGCCCCTTTATTTGAGCAAAAATCTTCCAGCCACACTGCANAATTAATGTATATGGAATCGACAGTGACGAAAAATCAGAGAAAAAATGGATTGTGCCCCTTTATTTGAGAAAAAATCTTCCAGCCTCACTGCAAGAGGAAGAAAGAACAATTCACCTTCTCATGATTGAAAAAGACGACATCCTCGATGGTGAACAGGAAAGAATTCATCACTACACATGGATCTCGAATTTGTCTCGTTTAGTTGGTGCACAAATTTCAAAAGTTAAAAGTAAAACACTCATATGTGACAGGTGTTTGTGTCATTTTTTCAAAAAAGAGGCCTACACTAATCATAGGGTAGATTGTGTATCGATCAATAAGTGTCGAATGATTTTTCCGCATCGTGGTGAAAAATATTTAACATTTCAAAATTTCAAGAATCAACTGACTGTTCAATTTGTTGTATACGCTGATACTGAGTGTTTATTGGAAAAAGTGTTCGATGACAATGATGTAAATACCAAAATATACCAAAATCATGTACCATTCAGTGTTGCATTTTATGTGAAATGTAGCTATGATAACTCAAAATCGAAACTCTCTATTTATCGTGGAAAAGACTGTGTAGAGTGGTTTATTGAGCAGCTACGTATTTTAGCTATAAAAGTTGATGCTGAATTACAGAGAAATGAGCCCATGAACTTGACTTTTGAGATGGAGCGAGCCTATAATGCAGCTAAAACATGTCATATTTGTGGCAGGGCATTCACCGAAAAAGCAGTGAAACATCGGGACCATTGCCACTTCACGGGAAAATATCGCGGAGCAGCTCATCCCGGTTGTAACCTGAATTACACAGAATCGTGTGTAATCCCTGTGGTTTTCCACAATTTGTCAGGTTATGACTCGCACTTTTTCATTAAGTCCCTTGCGAGACAATTCGAGGGCTCTGTGACATTACTCCCAATTACTAAAGAGAAATACATTTCTTTTACAAAATCAGTCGAATCAACAAGAGTCCACTTGAGATTCATTGACTCATTTCGTTTTATGGCAAGCAGTATCGATAAACTTTCTTCATATTTAGAAGATGAAAAAAAAATAATCACAGCCAGTCATTACCCTCAAAAACGACAATTCGAACTGGTTGTACGCAAAGGAGTTTTCCCATACGAATACTTGGATACATGGGAGAAATTAAGTGTACAACAATTACCACGGAAAGAAGAGTTTTATTCTCAACTGAATGATGAGCACATATCCGATAAAGATTACAACCATGCATGTGATGTGTGGAGAAATTTCAGCATCAGAACACTCGGTGAATATGCGGATTTATATCTGAAAACCGACGTATTGTTGCTAGCAGATATTTTCGAAAATTTTCGAGAGAGTTGTTTCACCGCATACAACTTAGATCCTCTTCATTATTATACAGCACCAGGACTGGCTTTTGATGCAATGTTAAAAATCACTGGAGTTCAACTGGAATTATTTCAAGACCCTGAGATGTTCCTTTTCATTGAGAAAGGCATTAGAGGAGGACTGTCGCAGTGTTCTAACCGATATGGAAGGGCAAATAACCCCTACATGGGTGCTAATGAGTATAACCCAGAAGAAGAGAAATCATATTTGATGTATCTAGATGTGAATAACTTATATGGAGCAGCAATGAGTCATCATTTGCCGAGTGGGAATTTCTGTTGGATGGAAGATTGGTCATCCCTCAACATCCTGAACATTCCAGATGACTCAGAGACTGGATACATCCTGGAGGTTGATCTGGAATACCCGCAGGAATTGCATGAAGAGCATAAAGATTTACCATTGTGCCCGGAACACATAATCCCTCCAAACGGTCAGGCCAAGTTACCAAAATTATTAACCACGTTGAACTCCAAAAAAAATTATGTCATTCATTATAAAAATCTCAAACAATATTGTAGTTTGGGCTTAAAAATCACTAAAATTCATAGAATCTTGAAGTTTTCTCAAAACTCGTGGTTGAAAAAATATATTGATTTAAATACTAATTATCGAAAAAATTCTCAGAATGACTTTGAAAAAAATTTTTATAAATTGATGAATAACGCGGTTTTCGGAAAAACAATGGAAAATGTCAGGAAACATCATGATGTGAAACTCGTATCAAGATGGGATGGACGATGGGGTGCTGAGAGTTGGATATCGAAACCCAACTTCCATAGTAGTATTATTTTCGATAAGGATTTGGTAATAATCCAAATGAGCCGAACGAAAATTAAATTTAATAAAC